GCCTGATGATACTGGCTTTTCCTCCACAACTATCAACCTAATCCCCTTGATCAAAGAGTCATGCTTAATGTTGTGAAAACAAAGATCAAAACTGGGGCTGTAAGGCCGTGAACGTGCCTCCTAAGAGGACCTCTCACCCCAAAGGCTGCCAAGCTGGGGCAGGTTCGACAGAACCGGTTCCATCTACATAACCTCTGCTAGGCTACTTTCTTGGCTCTATCCCACAGTTTCATTTTGTATATTTCTAACAGGAAAGGAGTCGGAATTCATGCTTGGCATGTTCTCTCAAGGATGCCATCCTGGCAACCTTGCTCCAAGCCAAAGTGGGAAATAATTTTTAAATATTTAGTCAGTCAAGAAAGTATGCTGATAAATTTTTCATGACCTGACCACCTCAGGTAACAACTGCGAGGGAAAAACCAAAAACCAAACCCACTGCTGTCGAGCCAGTTCCAGTTCATAGTGACCCTCTTGGACAGAGGAGAACTGTCCCACAGGGTTTCCAAGGAGCTGCTGCTGGATTCGAACCCTCGACCTTTTGGTTAGCGGACTAGCTCTCAACCACTGTGCCACGAGGGCTCCGTGGGGAGGGAAGGGGGAGCTATTAATTTTCTTATACAGGTGATCACTGCTTATGGCATTAGTCTGGCTTCAGTAACAGACAGTCTAGGAGAAAGACCAGTTTGAATTAGTAACAGAAAGAATTACAGGCTCTTTAAACAAAGAGATACAGGTTATTATTGACATGTAGACAGTAAGTCAAGGAAATCTTAGCCTTTCAATAATAACAGCAACTTGTGTTTAGTGTGCTAACTGTTTAGGTCAAATACTTCTAAAGTTCTTGAAAATATTTCCCCTGCTATGTAGATTATTTCCTTTATGGATTTGAAATTTACTTCAGTAACTTTCCAAGTATCTTAGCCCCAGAGTACACAGCAGTAGTGACGAGTGAGGCTCTGCAGACAGACTCACATGAGCTCAAATCCTTGCTATGCAACCTCGCTGTGACTTGCTGGCCACATTTAATGTTTCTGACCCAATTTCCTTCTCTATAAAACGAGGAAAATCACACCCCTTACCATATGGGGTGATGGACGCTAACACTAAGTGCTTTTACACAAGGCTGGATGCGCACAGTTAGAGCTCAAAAGTGCCTACAATAATTTCAATATATTGATATTAGTATGTTATATAATTACCACTACTGTTCTTTTCCGAGCTATACACAAATAGCTTAGGCCATATCTAAACTCCCTCCAATTCCTTACTGAGCACCTTGTCAGACAGTTGGTTAACAAGCATAGGGCCTGAGCAATAAGTATGTAATAAATGAAGTAATAAAGGCCAAATAAAGCAATTGTTATTTATATAAATGTACCAGGGCTAAACTTAGCTACAAATGAACTACCACGATACAATACCATGCTTATGTAATCTAAGATGTTAAAAACCAGTTGACCAAATGATTTTTCTCCTCTGGATTTGAATTCATCTTCTTTTATTATTTTTTTGCATTACCAAAAAAAAAAAAAAAATGACTCAGAAATCTCCATGAAATTATATTCAATAGTATGGTGAGCTACATTTATCTTATGCTTCTCGATACATGAGTTGACATTCTGCTCCTTCACATCTGACCATTCTGAAAGGAAAAAGGAAAAAAAAAAGTCTGGCCAACAGCTTTTTAGTTTGCAGTCATTGAGTCTTTCTACACTGGTTTTATCTTGAGAAAGGCCAAAATCAACTAGGCCAGACTGACGCTTGAAAACACGTAAGCAGGATGATAAAATATTTTAAAAGAATTAAACAGTCACTAGTGATTTTGGAAAACAGAAGTGACAGAGCTGAATCGTACGTTAAGAAGTTACCCAGTTTAGCTGCCAAAGTGCCCGAGGCCCAGAGAATAAAACAGGTCATGGAAGGAAGCAAATGCTAATTTTTTTTTTTTTTTTAATGGAATGACCTAAATATGAGTTCTCTATCTCATCTTAAACTAGAATGCAGAGCTCTTAACACTTGGGGTTAGGGGCTGACACTGAACAGATGGCCAGATACAGAATTCTGTGCCTCGACAGCAGGGACAGAAGTGTAATCGGCTCAGCCCGGCTGGAGAGGACGTTAGAGCCGCAGCAGCAGAGCCCCGCCACGGCTCAGGGGGGTCTGCAAAAACAGTGAGACTTACACACGGGGCCGCTCCAGCCACGGGCTCAGGGGTCTGCAAGAACAAGGAGACCTACGCACAGGGCCACTCCAGCCACGAGCTCAGGGGGCTGGAAGAATACAGACACGCACAGGGCCGCTCCAGCCACGGGCACTAGCTCGCAACAATGAACCGCTGTGATTTGTTTTGCAGTGAGATGCGGTCACGCCCAAGTGTCACACTGACTCTCATGCACGACAACAAGATGTACACCCTGGATTAGGCACAAGATCCGTGTGGTCTGCTGTATAAAAGTTCCAACAGTTATTTACAATTTAGAAAAGCATAAAGTACGATCTTTTTGATTTATGTTAGCCTGACGACTAACTCCACCAATAAAACATTTCTTTCCAGACTGGAAATCAGCTAATAGAATAAGTCAGCCAATACGTAGGTAATACTGAGTTCTAAGCTGCAGGATGGTGGGTCTCGGCCTACACTGATAAAGTGGCCACTGGGAGAAACGGTCACACTAAAGCCTAAGATTTAGAGCAACTGTCTCCTAAAATACATTTCATGTATGGAAAACAGGCATCTACATACCAGTTCCCCCTAACAGTCACAGGTGGCCCAAGCACCTGGAAAATGGCTATCACACACTGTCAGATGTTAAAGCCTCAACTTGTATTTAAACACCTGTGAGGCCGCTCACATGTTTTCCTCTGCTGCAAATGAACGGTCGTAACACCTCTAAATAGATACTTACACACCGCTGCCATCCCATCCACTCAGGGGTACAGTTCAAGTTATCACCTGCTGGCTGAGTGTAAACTGAATAGACCTTCCTTCCTCTTCCAGTGTTGCCCTGACTTCGTGATTTTATTATTATTATTAAATGCTGGGAGCATCTAGCTTGTCTTCTGTCCCAGGGCGGCTGGAGAGAGCCGGGGGACAGGAGTGGGCAGGAGAGACGGCCCCCTGTCCTCCTTCCTGGGCCCTCTCTGAAGCCTGCAGGGGGAGACCTGCCGAGCTGCGCAGACCCCAGTGGGGTCGTGGAGAGAGAGCCATGCAGGGGAAACACTGCAGACCACCACGTGGACTCGCCGAGTGGCAGGGTGAGGGACGGGAGTCGGTGGGGACATGCCTCCCAGAGCATAGGGGCAGGCCTGTCCATCTTTCCTGCTCTTATCAGATTGCCCCAACATGTGGACTCTGGCCTCAGGCTGGGGCTAAACGAGTCGCTGCCGTTCAATATATGCACCGGCATCGCCCGTGCGTAGAACCTGTACCTGAAAATCACTTATCCGGAGCACATCCCCACTGTATCGTCACATCACACTTCTTGGTGACCTTCCATAAACCTAGTCCCACGTCTCTCTCTCCTGTATGTACCTTATTAAATGATAATATTGTTTTACCGATATTAATATCGACATAAGTAACAACAACCAAACAGAACATTTAACTTAATCCTGATCTTTCATGTAACTAATGAGTCCTCACCACACACGTGTCGGTGGGCGGCAGGTGGAGTTCTGGTGGGTGGGCTCAAGCGGCTCCACACACGAGGTGTTGTGCCTAATCCCAGGCCCGGCTGCCTCCCCGCACACATGCCCTCGCCACACGCGGGCACAGACGATCAATGAGGCCCTGGAAGTAGGACGGCTGTGGCAGCCGACGCCTGACATGGTTTCGGACCGAAGCACTGAACACGAGGGAGCGTGTTCCATGCCCAGGTACACACCTCTTCCTCTGAACTGTCACTCGGGTCACTGTCTAGCGAGGCGCTCAAGGAGGCCGCCCTGGGCTCCAGGTAGCAGAGGCACAGAGCCAGAGGGAAGGAGAGAGAGAGAGCACAGGGCACAGAGAAGGAGGCGGAGAGCAGGAAGAAGAAGAGGAAGAGGAGGCAGGGCACCAGGGAGGGCGAGCGGAGCGGGAGGTAATGCTGCAGGCTCTGGGGGAGCAGGCTGGACTCAGAGAGGCTGGGGAAAGAGAGGTACCCATCCTCATCTAGAAGAGAAGGCAATGACTTGGGGAGATGCAAGGAGAAGGAGAACAAGGTGGTCCCTCTGCCGGCCGGCTGTTTGCAGCTGAGAGCCACATCCGGAGGCCCCAGGGAAGGCTTCCCTCTGCCGTCGGCGCCCAGGGTGGGCTCACCGTGCAGGCGCACGGGGTCTCCGTGGGGCTTGCTGCCCAAGGGCTCGCGGTCCTTCTCCTGCCACCTCCTGCGGGGCGCTGTGGGGGATGCAGGGGGGCCACGTGCTGATGGCAGGGAGAGGGGGCATGAGTCAGTGCCGAGCCCGGGGGACTGATGTGAGAGAGACAGACAGAGTGGCAAACAGAGGTGCAAAGGGACAAAAAGAAAACTGCAATTAGTTAATTTTCTTACGGGCGTCAATATAAAACCGTAGAACAGAATCTTAGAGCACAAGGTTGCTGCTTGTGGATTTTCAAGTATTCAAGCCACATGCCTAAGTTGCCATGAATGGCTAGACCATCAAATATATGTTGTTGTTTTTTTTTTTGTTTTTGTTTTTAAATCAGAAGAGAACACATTTGTGGGCAATTCTAAAGTTTACAAGTTTCAGGCTACCAAAAAATTTCATGTTAGACCAACAATTCTAGAAAGTCGTAGGGTTTAAAGAGTAAAAATAACTCTGCGACAGCTTAAAATCAAGACTTTCAATAACCTTCTTCTGATCTCCTGCTAAAAGATCTGTTACTATAGTTCAGTCGGATTAAAAATAAAAATGAAATCCAAATTTTGATTATTTTTTAAAGTCTCTAGCATTAGTCCCTTCCTTGGCTAATCAATTACATCCACATCAGGTGGATTTCCAAATCAAAGTGTTTCTGGCCCCACTCCTACCTGAAAAACAGTTATGATCAGAGAATTCAACAATTCGCATTTTAGGAAAACCTGACCCCCTATAAAAAACTGAAGTTCCCTTGAAAACTCCTATTCTGTTTTTGCTTTTATCCATGATGTCAACGGAATTTAAAGCAAGTGGCTTCCACAAGCTAGCAAAAAGAAGGGATTTTCCTATAATGTTTTATAAGTAGTTACTCTGTATTTTTTGTGGCACACACAGAATATAAAGATACAATTTCCCAGCCTTCTTCGTCTTTTTTTAGCAGATAAACGGCACATTTAAATCCTTGGTTTGAGCCCTCAGTAAAATGATAAAAGCAGGCATTTCACAAAAGTGTTCCCCATGAGTTTAGGCTTCTTTCTGGACCCCGGCCATGTCAATTACCAAAGCCACTTTCATCTGGAGGTGGCCAGGGACTGCTGAGAAGGACGGGGAAGAAGGAACGTGGCAAACAAACCCCAAACACAACCTTGGCAGCACGCTGAAGCTGCACAGTCTACAGAGTTCACGATACGGTCAGAGGGAGCCTGGGATAATTAGGCTTCTGCTGCTTTCTGTCAAGGTGTGTGTGTGTGTGTGTGCGTGTGTGCGTGTGCGCGCGTGCGTGTGTGTGCATGTGTGTGCGCGCGCGTGCGCCTAGCGACCAGATAGCATGGAAATTACCCAGCCTGCTTTGGGGCGGTTATCTAATCCTGACTGCAGAGGCAGAGGTTAAGAAACTGCACAAATAATATAATTATCACGGACATAATAGAATTTAGACGTCTTCTTGACTATTAGACCGGTATGTCTTTTCCCACATTCTTGCATTTGACAAGAAACACTGCATTATAAACAGGAACCTGCACAAACCTCATTTAACTAAGAATTCTGTACAAATTACAAGCCGAGTTCAGCATGAGGACACTCATCCCCCAGCAGAGAAAGGCTGCCACTACCTCTGGGTGATAATCAGCCAGTGAAACACACCCTCCTCTCAGGGGAGCTTAGCGATCGTATTTCAACAACTATTTTCTGCAATACATTTTCACTTTGGATAAAAAATAATACCCTCTAGAAAAAAATATATCAAGCAAACAAAACTCAAGAAAGAGTGGGAATGGCAATATTAATCTCTGAAAAAACAGACTTTAAAATAAAATCCACCACAAAGGATAAGGAAGGACACTATACAGTGATTAAAGGGTAAATACACCAGGAAGACATAACTATAATAAACATTGACACACCCAATGACAGGGCTCCAAAATAAATAAAACAAACTCTAACAGTACTGAAAAGAGAGACAGACAGCTCCAAAATAGTATTAGGAGACTTCAAAACACCACTTTTGGTGAAGGACAGAACATCCAGAAAGAAGCTCAACAAAGACACGGA